ATAAATATTTTAGTGTAATTACTTATACACATCAAAGTTTTAATTTTATATATACTAAATATTTAAATACAAGTAAAACCATAAACATTTAAAGTAAAACCATAAACATTTAAATTAAAATAAACACTAATAATATTGCCATTTATGAATAACACTATCACACTACAATCAAAGGAACAAAACACATTCACATGTACTGAATCACATTTTATATCAGTTGTAAACAATTTTATATTGACAGGACAGGACAACAAAAGAAGCAGAATCAGGACAACAGTAGAGTGCAACAACAAAAAAAAAACAGACGACTGAGGAAAAAAAAAATTGAAGCAGCACAGGAGCAATTTCATATTGACTGGACAGAAGCAGAATCAGGACAACAACACAGGCAAAAAGGCACTTGGCCTCCGCAAGAACTGCAAGCACAGAAAAGGCCCGAGGTTTACTTATGCAGGCAATAGGCCAAGAATAGGGAAGCAATACCATTCCATGTAAAACGTCAAGTATCACTGCCTGCATTCTAGTCCAAAATACCATTGCAAGAACAATTGAATCTGTATGTTAAATTTAGTTCACCTATAATGATCATATCATGTGAGAGTGAGATGCCATCAAAGCTTAATTAAATTGTATTTCGGACTGGAGTTTCATTCACAAATTTTTTTTTTTTTTTGTCTAGGCTTACATATGGTTTTAACTCACATTTTTATGGGATCTTCACATCGAATGGAGTTTGGACAACAACATAAGGAAAAATCAAAAAAAAAAAACAGACGCATAATGAAAAAAAAAAAGAAGCACAATCGGAGCAGAATAGGGTAGAATCAGAGCAGGATAGGGTAGAATCAGATCAAGAAAAAAAAAAAAAAACCAGAATCGGTGAAGGAGCAGAAGACAGAAGAAAAAAAATTGAAGAGAGAAGAAGAAGTGACTAACCTCCACAGTCCAGCCCTCCAAACCCTCAGTCCAGCAACAACAATGGTGTAGAAGTAGCGAAAACTCGAAGCCTTGGAGTGTAGCACTGGAGAACAGTACCGATCGTGTAGCAATGGAGACCAGCAATGGAGAGCAGCACCAAATCGGTCGTGTAGCAGTGGAGAGGAGCACCGATCGATCGTGTAGCAGTGGAGAGCAGCACTGATCGAAGCAGCATCGATCGAAGCAGTGGACAGCAGCACCCGATCGTGTAGCAGTGGAGAGGCAGCACCGATTGAAGCACCGATTGAAGCTATCTGAGAAAAAATAAACAAAATTAGGTTAGGAGTTTTATTTATAGGATAAGGGAATAATTCGGTACATTAACATCTTAAAATTTTTTTTGCAATCGCCCAATCCTACGGTCTAAATTAAAAATAAAATATTTCGCCTCGCATAACAAAAGCGATCGCTTTTTCGCTTTTTTCGCTTCTTCGCTTTTTCGCTTTTTCTCGCTTTTTTCTCGCCTCACTCACGTTCGCTTCGCCTGGGTTCCTCCAGGCGAGCAAGTCTCGCCTCGCCTCGCTTCTCGCCTAGGCGAGCGCCTAGGCGCGCTTTTCATAACATTGGGGTGGAGTACATTGAACTAAATCCCATGAAGTTGTGTTATGATTTGCATCACTAATGTGCGTAGAAGGGAAAGAGTTCAGCCGAGAGAAATAAGGGTTGAGGATGAAGAGCCTTATGGGTCTGGTTTTGATGAAGAAGATGATCGGAAGTTTAGAGAAGCTAGGAATCGGGAAGATAACAACTTGGGTGGTATTAAGATGAAGATTCCATCATTTCAAGGTAGATCTAATCCTGAAGCATATCTTGAGTGGGAGAAAAGATGGGGTTGATATTTGACTACCATAACCAATTCAAAGCATAGAACGTAACTGCAATCCAATAATGACTAAGTCCAACAAGTGTAAGTAATATTTGTAGTTTTCATGGACTTGCTAGTTTCCATCGACGGTTTGTGATGGACTTTAGTAGCACACCCGCACAACTTACCAAAGTGGTCAAGAATAACATTGGATTTAAATGAGGAGAAAGGCAAGAAATGCCGTTTCAAATAATCAAAGAGAAGTAGACCAACCCCCCTTATTATCTTTACCTAATTTTAGAAAAGCTTGAGATTGAAAGTGATGCTTCAGGTATTGGCATAGGAGCAGTACTGATGCAGGAAGGACGACCAGTTGGTTACTTCAGCGAGAAACAAAGCGGGGCAGCCTAAAATTACCCAACTTACGATAAGGAGTTGGATGCATTGTTTTGAGCTTTAGAGACTTGGAAACTCTACCTATACCCTAAGGTATTCGGGATTCACACCGATCATGAGTCCTTGAAACATTTGAAGGGCCAGAACAAGCCATATAAAAAGCATGCACGATGGGTGGAGTACGTTGAACTAAATCGCATGAAGTTGTGTTATGATTTGCATCACTAATGTGCGTAGAAGGTAAAGAGTTCAGCCGAGAGAAGTAAGGATTGAGGATGAAGACCCTTATGGGTCTGGTTTTGATGAAGAAGATTATCGGAATTCTGTTGTTAGTAATAGGAGAAATAGAGGGCAGTTTAGAGAAGCTAGGAACCGGGAAGAGAACAACTTGGGTGGTATTAAGATGAAGATTCCATCATTTCAAGGTAGATCTGATCCTGAAGCGTATCTTGAGTCGGAGAAAAGATGGAGTTCATATTTGACTACCATAACCATTTTGAAGCAAAAAACGTATGTGCAATCCAAGAATGACTGAGTCCCACAAGTGTAAGTAATGTTTGTAGTTTTCATGGACTTGCTAGTTTCTATCGGCGGTTTGTGAAGGACTTTTGTAGCATACCCGCACCACTTACCAAAGTGATCAAGAAGAACATTGGATTTAGATGGGAAAAAAAAAAAGAAAAGTCGTTTCAACTAATCAAAGAGAGCTGACCAACCCCCCTTATTATCTTTTCCTAACTTTTTGAAAATGTTTGAGATTGAATGTGATGCTTCAGGTATTGGCATAGGAGCAGTGTTTATGCAGGAAGGACGACCTGTTGGTTACTTCAGCGAGAAACTAAGCGGGGCAGCCTTAAACTACCCAACTTACGACAAGGAGTTGGATGCATTGGTTCGAGCGTTAGAGACTTGGCAACTCTACCTATGCCCTAAGGTATTCGGGATACACACAAATCATGAGTCCTTGAAACATATGAAGGGCCAACACAAGCCAAATAAAAGGCATGCGCGATGGGTGGAGTACATTGAACTAAATCCCATGAAGTTGTGTTATGATTTGCATCACTAATGTGCGTAGAAAGGAAAGAGTTCAGCCGAGAGAAATAAGGGTTGAGGATGAAGAGCCTTATGGGTCTGGTTTTGATGAAGAAGATGATCGGAAGTTTGGAGAAGCTAGGAACCGGGAAGATAACAACTTGGGTGGTATTAAGATGAAGTTTCCATCATTTCAAGGTAGATCTGATCCTGAAGCATATCTTGAGTGGGAGAAAAGATGGAGTTCATATTTGACTACCATAACCAATTCGAGGCAAAGAACGTAAGTGCAATCCAAGAATGACTGAGTCCCACAAGTGTAAGTAATGTTTGTAGTTTTCATGGACTTGCTAGTTTCTATCGTCGGTTTGTGATCGACTTTAGTAGCATACCCGCACCACTTACCAAAGTGATCAAGAAGAACATTGGATTTAGATGGGGAGAAAGACAAAAAATGGCGTTTCAATTACTCAAAGAGAAGCTGACCAACCCCCCTTGTTATCTTTACCTAATTTTTGAAAAGTTTGAGATTGAATGTGATGCTTCAGGTATTGGCATAGGAGCAGTGCTTATGCAGGAAGGACGACCAGTTGGTTACTTCAGCGAGAAACTAAGCGGGGCAGCCTTAAACTACCCAACTTACGATAAGGAGTTGGATGCATTGGTTTGAGCTTTAGAGACTTGGCAACTCTACCTATACCCTAAGGTATTCGGGATTCACACCGATCATGAGTCCTTGAAACATTTGAAGGGCCTGCACAAGCCAAATAAAAAGCATGCGCGATGGGTGGAGTACATTGAACTAAATCCCATGAAGTTGTGTTATGATTTGCATCACTAATGTGCGTAGAAGGTAAAGAGTTCAGCCGAGAGAAGTAAGGGTTGAGGATGAAGACCCATATGGGTCTGGTTTTGATGAAGAAGATTATCGGAATTCTGTTGTTAGTAATAGGAGACATGGAGGGCAGTTTATAGAGGCTAGGAATCGGGAAGATAACAACTTGGGTGGAATTAAGAGATGAAGATTCCATCATTTCAAGGTAGATCTGATCCTGAAGCATATCTTGAGTGAGAGAAAGGATGGAGTTCATATTTGACTACCATAACCATTTCGAAGCAAAGAACGTACGTGCAATCCAAAAATGACAGAGTCCCACAAGTGTAAGTAATGTTTGTAGTTTTCATGGACTTGCTAGTTTCTATCGGCGGTTTGTGATGGACTTTAGTAGCATACCCGCACCACTTACCAAAGTGATCAAGAAGAACATTGGATTTAGATGGGGAGAAAGACAAGAAAAGTCGTTTCAATTAATCAAAGAGAAGCTGACCAACCCCCCTTATTATCTTTACCTAACTTTTTGAAAACGTTTGAGATTGAAAGTGATGCTTCAGGTATTGGCATAGGAGCAGTGCTTATGCAGGAAGGACGACCAATTGGTTACTTCAGCGAGAAACTAAGCGGGGCAGCCTTAAACTACCCAACTTACGATAAGGAGTTGGATGCATTGGTTCGAGCTTTAGAGACTTGGCAACTCTACCTATGCCCTAAGGTATTCGGGATTCACACCGATCATGAGTCCTTGAAACATTTGAAGGGCCAGCACAAGCCAAATAAAAGGCATGCGCGATGGGTGGAGTACATTGAACTAAATCCCATGAAGTTGTGTTATGATTTGCATCACTAATGTGCGTAGAAGGGAAAGAGTTCAGCCGAGAGAAGTAAGGGTTGAGGATGAAGAGCCTTATGGGTCTGGTTTTGATGAAGAAGATTATCGGAATTCTGTTGTTAGTAATAGGAGACATGGAGGGCAGTTTACAGAAGCTAGGAACCGGGAAGATAACAACTTGGGTGGTATTAAGATGAAGATTCCATCATTTCAAGGTAGATTTGATCCCGAAGCATATCTTGAGTGGGAGAAAGATGGAGTTCATATTTGACTACCATAACCATTTCGAAGCAAAGAACGTACGTGCAATCCAAGAATGACTGAGTCCCACAAGTGTAAGTAATGTTTGTAGTTTTCATGGACTTGCTAGTTTCTATCGGACGGTTTGTGATGGACTTTAGTAGCATACCCGCACCACTTACCCAAGTGATCAAGAAGAACAATGGATTTAGATGGGGAGAAAGACAAGAAATGCCGTTTCAATTAATCAAAGAGAAGCTGACCAACCCCCCTTATTATCTTTACCTAATTTTTGAAAAGTTTGAGATTGAAAGTGATGCTTCAGGTATTGGCATAGGAGCAGTGCTTATGCAGGAAGGACGACCAGTTGGTTACTTCAGCGAGAAACTAAGCGGGGCAGCCTAAACTACCCAACTTACGATAAGGAGTTGGATGCATTGGTTTGAGCTTTAGAGACTTGGCAACTCTACCTATGCCCTAAGGTATTCGGGATTCACACCGATCATGAGTCCTTGAAACATTTGAAGGGCCACCACAAGCCAAATAAAAGGCATGCGCGATGGGTGGAGTACATTGAACTAAATCCCATGAAGTTGTGTTATGATTTGCATCACTAATGTGCGTAGAAGGGAAAGAGTTCAGCCGAGAGAAGTAAGGGTTGAGGATGAAGAGCCTTATGGGTCTGGTTTTGATGAAGAAGATTATCGGAATTCTGTTGTTAGTAATAGGAGACATGGAGGGCAGTTTACAGAAGCTAGGAACCGGGAAGATAACAACTTGGGTGGTATTAAGATGAAGATTCCATCATTTCAAGGTAGATCTGATCCTGAAGCATATCTTGAGTGGGAGAAAAGATGGAGTTCATATTTGACTACCATAACCAATTCGAAGCAAAGAACGTAACTGCAATCCAAGAATGACTGAGTCCCACAAGTGTAAGTAATGTTTGTAGTTTTCATGGACTTGCTAGTTTCTATCGACGGTTTTGATGGACTTTAGTAGCATACCCGCACCACTTACCAAAGTGATCAAGAAGAACATTGGATTTAGATGGGGAGAAAGGCAAGAAATGCCGTTTCAAATAATCAAAGAGAAGTGACCAACCCCCCTT